TGATGATATGATGTTAAAATGTATTCATTTTATTAACATGTTATTGTTGGGTGCTAGCTGAAAAATGAACATATTTGGGTATGTTGTGATCAACATGCAGTTATTTTTTGTGTACTCTTTGTTTATCTGAATTTTTCCTACTTGGGGAGAAGTTATGGTATCCTGGTTATCAGTGCTAAAGTATTGAATAAACATGTGATTGGTCCATAGTATGGAAAGTTTTCTGAGTTTATTTAATACATTTTATAATAATAGTAGGGATAAAATATAAACTTATGTTTTATACCATTAGGAGATATGTATAATAGTATACATAAAATAAAATACATTTAAAAATCACAGAAAAACAAATGGAAGTAGTCTGAGAGCATCTATAATGATTTAACATTTTTTTAAAGCCTCTGTGAAGATCTATATTTTGTATTTTTCTACACTGTAAACTCAACAAGATAATAGTAATACCTTTAATTGTTTAAGACCTGCATATATATATATTTTCTGATTATCTCACTGACTATAAGGAAATATTGTAAAGGTAAAACCGTAACTCATTTAATAGTTAACCTTGGAGGCAAAATATGCATAGCCATGTGTTCAGAAGTGCAACTCTTATAGAAGGAGTTAATACTATGCCTGACTAAATTCTTTTCATCTAGTAAAAGTCATGTTATGGCAGTGATATATTATGCATTGAGTTTTTATATGACTTCAGGAATCCTTGCTTAATGTATTTCCAGATTGCTACCGGACTTGAAACATTGCAAGTAATTAATGATGTGGCTGTTGAGGAACTAAGAGTGCTGATTACATTTTTTTGAACTTGGAAAGAGAATACTTTTCTAATTAAATTTCTGAATACAGTGGTACAAAATCTTTGGCATTATTTTTAGTAAAGAATGTGAAAAAATGGTGACCCACAGATTTTTACATCTTCTTATTTGATCATAGAGGATTTCCAAAAAAATTTTTTAAACAAATTTTTCTAGTAATTGTGTTTGCAGTTGATGATATATTTGGACCCATATTTCCCAAAATGAACTTTATTGAATATTCATTTTACTCTCTATTCGTTATCAAAAATTTGCCCTGTTTTGCTTTTCTTAGTTCCACTTTTGATTTTAACCTAGTGTCTATCTTTTCCCCTAAGGATACTCCTGTCTTCCTTCTTAATAATAAAAAAATTAAATCTACCTGGTTAATGAAATACAAAACTTTTAGTCTGACTATAGGTTTGTGGTTTTTCCCTTCATTTCAGTTACTTATTATAACTGCCTCTGCTTGCTGAATTTGTTGACATTCTAATCTCAGTTCTATGTCTGCAGAAAGAAGAGACACGTATGAGACCACCAGTTCAGCATTTTGAGTTGCCTGTTCAAAACATACTCTTGTGTGACTTAATAGTTTATCAAATTCCTTATGTTCCAAACTGAATTTATTTAACATTTCTGTTAAATCCATCACATCCTTTCCATTTTCTCTAACAGTTTTAGTTTCTTACTGTTCCTAGGTTTAATTTCTTCCAATATAGGTAACCACACTCTGCTCGACCAGTCTTAAATAGCAGATCTTTCTCTTTTACAGAAACTTTCACTGGATCCCAATGTATTTTGCAAAGCGTCTAAGTTTCTTTATTTGGCAAAAGTGCCATCTAAGAGAGAATCTCAACATGCCTCGTCAGCCTTATCTACCATTATCCCCTTACAGGCAAGCAACATATTTATTACTAAAATTCCCATCTATATTTAGTTAAATATAGTCTTTTTAGTCATTGCCTTTTTACATGATTTTGCTATGCTCAGCCCCTTAGCTTAATAATTGATTTTCAGTATGAATAAAATAAGCCTTAATCGGATGTCCTTAACTTGACACGTTCACTAATTGCCACAAAAAACAACAACAACGTTTGCAGTTGATGTTTCTATTATGTCAAATTGTGACTATAAATCTTATTGGCAAAACACGGATATGTTTTGCACTCCTAATTTTTTAATTTATCTATTTTTAGGGAAAATCTTGTAGCTCTTTTCTGAATTACCAAGTGATATCTCTGCTCTTTGACTTTACTTTTTTACTGCTTTTTTTAGTTATTTTGAAACATACCTTATTTCTTCTACTTGAATATGAGTTCCTTGATGGAATAAGCCTTGCGCATGTAGTTTCCAAATGGTACATATACTCAGTAGATATACACAGAATAGGTATATACAGAATAGATATATGAATGAATTGTCATGTAATTATCATTATTTGACATACTAGAAATAGCAGTTTCAAAATTAATTTTGGTGACAGTCAAAGCATAAAGTCAAAAGAATTCGGTTTGACCTTATTTTATTCTCATTGAAAATCAGTCATTTAACCAAGTAACTGAGCATAGAAAAACAATCATTTAACAAATGATGGCAAAGTATCAATAATCAAAAATGTTAGGTACAACTGAACATGGATGGGAATTTAAGCAAAACTTTTGAACTAACCAGTAAGGATCTCCAGATAAGATTCTTTATCTCTCATATTTAAACTATTGCCTTTTCCTTGCATTACAGACCTTAGCAATGTGTTGGATCATCACTGCTTATAGGTTTACCATGTATTATTCTAAACTGGGAAAATGAAGTGTTTTGTGTGACATAATCGATTAAATAGATTATGCCTTTTATCCTGTTACCTAAAATTTCAAATAGTATAAACTTAATAATAGTAATGGAGTCCCTGGGTGGTGCAAATGGTTAAGCTCTGCATTACTAATCCAAAGGTTGGAATTCAAACCCACCCAGAGGCATCTTGGAGGTAAGGCCTGGCAATCTGCTTCCAAAAGGTCAAGGCCTTGAAAACTCTATGGAGTGCGGTTCTGTTCTGCACATTTGGGGTCACCGTGAGTTGGAATCAACGGCAACTAACCACCACCACAACATAAAAATAATAAGTATACCACCTTGAAATAATCACTATGTTTTATTTTCTCAAAACATTCCTTTTAACAAGAACTGCATACTATTGTTATTATGTGCTGTAAGTGTCAAGAGATTACAACTTTGCAAAAATAACTTATCAGGAAAATCCAGTTAAAATAATCATATTTTTCTAATTAAAAGAACTTCCAGTGGACTGAAACCTGCATCCTTGGTATCTTAAAAAGTACTCTAACCTATTTACATTAGGATGTGGCCCTAGTGGAATGCTCAATAAACACCTGCATTTGATTTTTAGAATCCATGTGATGAAACAGCACAGTGATGAAGCTATTTGTATGTGTTTTTGTTTTAAAAAGAGGCCAGGCTCTGAATGAAAATATTCTAAGATGTGGCTCAGCCAAATAATGGTTTTAAAACCATAGCACAGATTATGATCGATTTTCTGTAGGTATTATGTAACTGCCTTCTCCAGGGACTGTTCAACACACGAGCTGGGGCTTTTAATATTTTACAGAAAGAATCAAATTAGTTTCTTTCCTGTGACTTTTATATGTAGAGAAGCCACAGTTCACTCCAGAGCAGTTTAGACATGAAATTAAAAAGAACATTAGTACTGGGTGATTATACACACAAAAAGCAAATGAACGCATAATGCATACTAATGTTTTATAGGCAACATTTCACTGAAGTTAAATAATTGGCTTTTATCTTTACTCTTTTAGATCCACAAGTAAGAACTCTAATGGCTTACAGATTGCAAAACAGTCATAGATATTAAGCAACGTTTTTAATGTCTCTAGAGAAATTGGAAGCTGAAGTAAGGGATGAGACTTAGAGTTCTGGTAGTATTCTAGAACAATAGGTGATTTTTGTCCCTAAATAATTTAAGCTAAGCAACTGGAAAGTGTGAGCCAGTATGAAAAGTGTTTTGAAATTGAACTTTTCAGAAGATAATGCATAATATGAATGCAATGTTATTTTTATGGCCCTGTAACCCTGTGCCTGGCAGAATGAGTATTCACTAAATGATAACAATTAGAAGCTACATGTACAAACTTTATTTCGTATAATAGCTATAATATAAGAGAAAGGTCAATATACATCAATATGGGAGGAATTCTGAAATATTATTAAACATAAACTGTGTCCTATGTGATCATTTATCATGTGTTCTTAGCAGACAGTAGTTTTTAATCTGTAGTTTGCAAAAGACCATATACTCATATCAACAGCAATGGGTTTTTAGTTTTTTTGCAAAAGATTAATTTGAATGTTTATCAAAAAGGCTGATTTCTCTTTCCCCACCCCTGGGATTCTGATAAAATAATTTTGGTGTTGTCCTAGGAATTTACATGTTTAAGGAGCACCTTAGTTGATTTGATTCAGGTGGCCCACAGCTCACACGTTGAGGAGCAGAGATATAAGGAAATGTTTTAGTCAGCAAATGAGAAAACTCTGGGGAAAATGTACCAAACAACAATTTGATCCTGTGAGTGCTCCTTGCCCAATTGCATGTGGAAATGTGATTGTTATTAAGGATGAAATTATTTTCTTAATCCTAAAGCAGATACAGAATTTGCACAACTGAATCTTAAAAATTCTACCCATACCTTGTAAAGCTCTACCCTGGTAGGTAGAGCTACATTTGACACAAATCACGAGATAAGAGAGGCTAAATTCTAAAAGAACTTTTGATTTATCGGTTGTTAAACATAAAAATGTTATGAAATTTAATAGTGTTTGAATAAATTTGTAATAGGAATACTAATTTTGAATGCACCCAACGTAAAAAATAATTTTATTTGAAACAAATGCATGTTTTTTTCCCCCAAAAATGGATGTTACCCTGGGTCCATCTTTAATACAATTTTTCTTTTCTTTCTTTTTTTTTATGGTGAGGAGAATGAATGAGTTGCTAGTCTTTAGAGATTTCTTGCAAGCTTTTTATAAATCATTATTTCCTTAATTTAAAAAATAGTAACTCAACTTCTCCATATACAAGGAAAAAATGCTACGTTTAAACTTGGTAAATGCACCAAAACAGATACATTGTATTTATTCTGCTCATTGCTATTTTATTTTCAGATTCAAGAATGGCTTTGTTTAAATTGCCAAACCCAGAGAGCGACATCAGGACAGTTTGGAGACATGGGCAAAGTGGCATCTTTGCAGTCGGGACCAAACGCATCTTCTATGCCTGTCCCTACGGAAGAAACATCTCAGAAAAAACTGATACCTGCCCAAGTAAAAGAGAAAAAGAAAGATCCAGAAGTAAAAAGAGAAGCTGAAAAAGTAAAAGAAACACCATCATTTGAAAAAATTCCTCCAAAAGCAACCACTGATCAAAAACAGGAAGAGAGGAAGCTAGAGAAATACAAATCTCCACTCCCTGAAGAAAAAAAGCCATCCCCCAAAGACCAAAAGCCAGCCTCTGAAGACAAAAATTTATCTCCCGAAGCAAAAACATCAGCTCTACAGGAGGAACAGAAACATGACTTACTTAAAACTCAAGTACAAATTGCTGAAGAAAAGCTCCAAGGCAGAGTGACTCCAAAGGCAGTGCAAGAAGAGAAACAACCACAGACAAAGATGGAAGGTTTACCATCTGGCAAGAGTCAGAGTTTGCATAAGGAAGCCGATGAGAGAACCCAAAAAATAAAAGAACAGACACGTGCAGCACGCATAGCAAAATCTGATCAGGTGGAAACTGGGAAAGAAAAAACAGTAAGTTATGTTTTCCTAACTTTGCACAGTCTCACATACGTAATTTATTGATTTTTTTGGCCCAAGTACACAAATTGCTTAACGGTAATTAAGTGGAAGTCTTCAGTCAATGAATGAATGGCATTTTCAGAGAAGTGTAACAATTGTTTGCTGTAATGAAGAACTTTGGCCTCTTGAGAGCTTAGTGAATCAAATTTACATAAAGCATAGCTGTAAAATATATTTTTCTGTCTGTTATGCCTATCTAATAATTTATCAAAATCATATTGGGTGATAAATCAGTGTTTCTTACAGTTTTAAGTCATTCCTCTACCTGCCCCCGACTGGGAACATAAAGTTAGTATCTCCCTTTTATTATAAAATAGTTTGTGTCTATATAAGTTTCTATTCTCTTGGTTATCCAAGAGTCATCAGGCTCTCTTCTCACTTTAAAGTCTTCTAAGGTATGATTAAATAATTGTGATTGCAAAAAAAAAAAAAAAATGTGGATAAAATTTGAAACAAATTTTTAATATTAGAGCTCTAGAATTTATAATCCATTCTTCTGACTCTGGTTCACTTGGTTTTTTTGTTTGTTTACAGTTTTAATACAAGTTTATTAACCCATCTGTAGGAGCCCTGGTGGCACAGTGTGTAAATGCTCAGCTGCTCAGCTGCTAACTGGAAGGTCAGCAGTTTGAACCCACCAGTTGCTCCATGGGAAAAAGATGTGACAGTCTGCTTCCTTAAAGATTTACAGCCTTGGAATCTCTATGGGGCAGTAATTCTCTGTCCTATGGGGTCCTAGGGAAACCCTGCTGGCGTAGTGGTTAAGAGTTCAGCTGCTAACCAAAAGACTGGCGGTTAGAATCCACCAAGTGCTCCTTGGAAACCCTAGGGGGCAGTTCTACTCTGTCCTATAGGGTCACTATGAGTTGGAATCGACTGGACGGCAACGGATTTGGTTTGGTTTTTTGGTATAGGGTTCTATAGGGTCCGACTATGAGTGGAATCAACTTTTCCTTTGTTGTTTGAATGAATCTTAAGAGTGTCAAATAAAGCAGCTGCCTGTATGTTCTTCTTTCATACAGGATGAATCTAGCCAACACCACTGTCCCACCTCCCACCCCCAATGTTTCTGGCTACCATTTTGCAGAACTTGATAGTTTTTATCATTTCCTCCTTTTTGAAACTGCCCTTAACTTCCATGACCCTGCTTTCTCCTGTTTCTCTTTTGTCCTTCTGATTAGCCCTTCTGACTTTTACTTTGACTGTGTTCATGATTTTTCATTTTTCAGTCTCCAAACAGTGATGTTTTCTTTTGAGTTCTGTCTTCTTCCCTTTAGGGCATCTTCCATGAGTGATTCCTAAACCTCCTTGTGCACCTCCTGTCCCTCTTCTGAGTGCCAGAGCTGCATTTCCAAGTACCCAGTAGATGGTTCCACTTTAAAGCCTCAATGTAAACTCAAATTCAACAATTCAAATTCAAAAGGTCTTATGCACTTTTCAATAGAAGCATTTTCTGTTTCTGACTTTCTATTTCTGACAATGACACCATCATCCACCCTGTCACTAGTGTCTTGAGCACTAATCTTCAGAGTAATCTGAGGTTTCTCCTTAAGTGTCCTTTGCTTTCCACATCTAATTTATCACACTCCTGTCCCTTAGCTTCTATTCCTAAGGACAGTACCCTACTTAAGGCCTTTATGACCATTCTCCAATAATTTGAGTAATATAATTCCTGATCACCATGCCTTCTGTTTCTCACCTCTTTGGTATGTAGTTGTCAGGTCATTGTTGGTCACAGTTTGGGTAATTTAACTCCATCACTCAGATATTTCTAATAATTCTCTATTGCTTGTTAAATATAAGTTACACAACAAGTCTGCAAGTATTTTAGTCATGCACCCCATCAATACTTTTATTTTACAACTTCAAAATGTATACACATTTTTTAATTTATACATTGAATATATGCACTATTTTACCAATATATTATATTTACATTACGGAACATTCACAAAGAACAGAAAATAAAAATCCATAAAATACACGACATGATAGTTTATTATATTTATTTACCTATAGATACTTTGATCACATTGAAACATGATTAATAATAGTATCTTAGAGAGTATTTATTGACTATATCTCAATATTTTTGAAACTCTTGTTCTATAATATTAGAGTTATTTGAAATTCTGCTTATTCATTAAGCTTATTTTGATATTTTGACATTTAGTTTTAATGACTATAATGTTAGAAAAAGGTAATCCACAGCATATACCATAAATGGAAGAAGTGGATGAAATATTGCAAAGATTTGCCAAAATCCTGCTGCATGATTTCCAAGTATGGAATCAAAAGCTAATCATGAAAAAAATTGTGGAAATTCCACAAATGCTAATCTTCCCTGATACCAGTCGTTCGTTCTTGCTAACTCATTAAAAAATGTGGTGTTTAAAACCCATTGAAGTTCTTCATCTACAAGGATTTTAAAGAGATTGGAATATTCTGTTTCAAAGTTTTAAAATGAGTAGATGTGACAGCTTTTAAAGGTGACACATGTCATTTTAAGTGGCATAATCACATTATGATTTCCAGATATCTACCTTCAAAGGCCTGTTTCTGCATCATCATATTCTTGAAGAGACAGTGTTATTTACTTCCTAATTACCTATTAGGTAGCATATTACTGATATCCAGTGTTTATTTTTCTTTCTAAATATCTAATAGGTAGCATATAATCAATAACCACTTTGTCATCACCAAAAAGTTAAACAACTTTGGAATTCTTCTGTTTTTGTTTAAAAATAATTATATCTTCACATTTTACTGCTATTTTAACTAATTTTCCATGAAATATTTGTCAAATATCTATGGTGAAAATACTTTCATATTTATTTCCCATCTCAGTACAAAGTATTAAAAATATTCTTCAGAATAGAAAAGTCTTATTAGTATGTGATATAACACATCGGTAACATCCTGAGTCACTCTGTCCAATTCTGGCTTACTTACAATAGATGCAGTAAATGAATTTGCCATCTCTCTAACCTTACCCGCTAATTTTTTAAATAATTCTAATCAGATAAGTCACGCATCAGGATTTTTTTCATTAAAAAAATTATACATATATATATATATATACCTTTATTAAATAACTCACTGAATATTGAGGCAAGGTCTTCACTGGTACATTTTTTTTTCTTTAGAGATACTTTTTAAAGTATTTATTATTAAAACAGAAATACTGAATACTATAAGCTAACGTGTTAGAAATACCTGCACTTTGATTCTACTATTACCAAACCGTCCACTACTTAAAATTTGTTTTACTCTTCCCTCTCCCCAAACCTTCCAAACTTACTTCTTCATTCCTTCCAGCAATATTTTCTGACAAAGGAATGCAGTTTAGTTTGCCACTATATTGTTTTCCATATTACTTTTAGTCTTTTTTCCATAGCAGAAAAGACTAGTGTTCTCCCAATGATGTATGACTTTTTCTGTCTTTTACTATTAAATAAGAACATTCTAAATTTTTATTATTTGATTTAGTGAAAATTTGTAAAGCACTGAAATACTCATTTGCTTAAGATTATAGAGGTTTCTGATGGTGTCATGTCGTTGGTTGTAACTCCAAAGCACATTATGTGTTTAGAGCAGGATTTGTTATTTGTGATAATAGATGTAAATATGATTCCAAATAATTGTCTTTATAATGTCAAACACTTTGGCCAACTTCTTATCAAATTGAATTAAACTGATCATCATTGTTTTTACCTTTTAATGTTGCTGATGAAAAGCTTGTAACAATATGATAGTGTCCATTTCTTTATTACTGTGTGTGTATGTGTGTGTTGTATATATGTAGTTCTTACATTTTAAGTATTATCTTTAACACATGATTTCTTTGCAAGAATCTTTTTAATGCAATTTATCCATTATAGGAAAGTTGCCTTAGTTTAAAAATATAGCCCACAAGTCTGCCTAAGTGAACAATAAGCTGTAACTTACTAAAAGTTAGTAAATGAGGTAATGATGGCCTCACTGTAATTTCTCCTCATAGTAAACCTCCCAGTTTTCTCCCAAGATTCCTCACAGAACCTGTGACCAGCTGACATAAGTGAGAATACTTGTGTCAATATATTTATTAAAATTAGTGAAATTTAATTTCTTGCCTATTTTGGACAAAAAGTAAATACAATAAAAATCCTCACGTTTTCTTGCAGTTTATTAGATCATCATGCTTATCCACCAAGTACCTGAAAACCACTGTGGAGACCCTGTCTAAACGACTTAGCTTGGCTTCCTCAGTTCTCTGAAATCTGACTCAAACATAACTTTCAATCACCCCTTAACATTCCCAACTAGTAAGAAATCAAAAACCAGCTAAATGTGCCTATGTGTGATTCCTAAACATGGCTTGGTGCTTTCTCCCTTTTGATCCTTTACTCTGGAAGCTTCCTTAGTGTCCTCTGACACTCAACCCTCACATTGACCCTGTCAGAAAATACAACCTGGTCTTCTAGGCCACTCAAATGGCACCTCCTCCATGAATCTACTTTTATTTTCCCTAGTGGCAGGCACATTTCCTGCTGCTAAACTCCCTACATTACTCAAGTTTTAAATTAGTTTTTGTTTAAAATCAAAGTAATACTCTTCATTTACCTCTTAGTATATTCTGGGCACTATGTTAAGTCCTTTCTATCCACACAACTGCTTGATGAGGTGGATATTACAGTATTTGTTTCAAGATGGGGAAACTGAATTGCTGTGTTGAAGATCACAAAGCTAGGAAGCCCCAGATCTATGATTATAGTCCAGTTGTGATGTTAAAAGTTGTGTTCTTAACCACCACACATGATGCTTTTCTTTTCCTCTATGATACATTTAGCACACTGTCCTTTCATTGTTAAAATTATTTGTCTCTTAGCAGCTCCCACTATAAACCCAAACACTTGATGCAATTTTTTACTTACATAGCTTATTTTTTTCATTTATTTGTCATCTGTGTCATT